GTTGTAATGTGACAAAATATGGAAAAGTTCAAGGGGTATGAATACTTTTGCAAACCACTGTAGCCTGAAACTCTCAGACTGAAGAAGTCTCTTGGAGGAGAGACGAAACATTTCATTAAAGAAGAACCCGTCCAGAGGACCTATACATTTTTTTTCCTTTTGATTCTTTGGACAGATGAAACCAAGATTAACCTCTACCAGAATGATGGAAAGAGAAAAGTCTGGCGAAGGCCAGGTCCAGCTCCTGATCCAAAACACCACATCATGTGTAAAACACAGCAGAGCAGTGTGATGGCTGCCAGTGGCACTGGATCACTGTGCTTAYTGATRATGTGACACAGGACAGAAGCAGCCCAATGAATTCTGAGGGATTCAGAGCCAGACTGTGCTCAGATCAGACAAATGCAGCCAAACTGATTGGTCGTCGTTTCATTACTGCAGATGGACAATGACCAAAACATAAAGCCAAAACAACCCAGGAGTTTATTAAAGCAAAGAAGTGGAATATTCTTGAATGGCCAAGTCAGTCACCTGATCTCAACCCAATTGAGCATTTCACTTGTTAAAGACTAAACTTCAGACAGAAAGAACCACAAACAAACCTCTGCAGTGAAGGCCTGGCAGAGCATTAAAAAGGAGGAAACTCAGCGTCTGGTGATGTCCATGAGTTCAAAACTTCAGGCAGTCAAGACAAAGGCTTTTCAACCAAGTACTAAAAATTAACATTTTATTTACAATTATTTAAACTGTCCAATTTCTTCTGAGCCTCTGAAATGAAGGGATTGTGTTTAAAAGATGCTTTAGTTCCTCACATTTCTATGCAATCATTTTGTTCAACCCTCTGAATTAAAGCTGCATCTGAATCATCTGCATCTGCATCAAACTGCATCTGAATTGTTTTGTTTAAAATTCATTGTGGTGATGTCTAGAACCAAAATTAGAAAAATGTTGTCTATGTCTAAAAGAAAAAATAAGTTGGTCCTCTGGATGGGTTCTCCTTTAGTGAAACGTTTTGTTTCTCGTCCAAGAGATTTTTTCAGTCTGATGAGTTTCAGGTGAACTCAGCCTTAAGAGCACTGCMTCCACATGGTGGACAAAGAGGTCAGTCACATGCAAAAGAGGGCCATCACTTAACAGTAGGCTTGATTGGTCCTTGTTTTTCTTTGACTGAGTGGGGGTGAGGATGAGGGTGGGATGGTGCGATTGTGTATGTTTGGGTATTTGTCAGGCTG